AAGGTACTATAACATGAAACCTAGATGAAGGAGATGGGCCCATTTTTTCTCTTTTACTAAGCTTTCTTTCATATATATATACCTAGTAATCAAGATAGGGCCACATTCTTCAACCAAACAGGCAGCAACAGTTGCTTATAATGCTTTAGTCTTTGTTTTTTTTTTTTTTTTTAAAAATGGAGGGGTTGAGGGTCAGAGGAAAACTAGGGCTATGCTGGGTTACTGAAGCTGCAGAGTGAGTTCCCTAGGGGAAAATCTTCCTTTCTGATGCCAGCAGGAAGAGGGGAACTAGGTCAGGGCAGGAGCCTGAGTTTCCAGCTGGAGCTGTCCAGCATTAGGGTATCATTACCCAGGCATCATCAAGGAGCAATTCTGAGGTCTTAGAGAGGCCAAACGAGTCATCAGAAAACATAAGGAATGATTACCAAACCCCTGTAGACTGTCATCCTCCAAAGCTGTACCCACTAAACCTGGAACTGGGAGAGAGTTAAATTGTAAACCTGACACTCTAGGATCCCGTTAGACGTGGGAGGATCATGAGCTCCAAATCAGCCTGTGCTATATTGTAAGACCTTGACTCAAGTAGACATTGTGACATTGATCTTTTATTAATACCTTACAGCTCCTTCTTCAAAAGTTCAGGTTTCTCCAACACAGCAACAAGCAGAGTGCTGGCAAGTAGTGACAGGTGGGCAAGTATATGCTGGCTAGCTGGCCTTCTGGAAGACGATGTCAAAAGAGCACAAATGACTGCTGAATTCATGACAAAGGCCTCAAAGGGCTCTTGGATGGTTAGACTGCTAGATCAATCTTTTAGGCAGAAATACCAAGGCAGGAAAAAAAAAAAAATCCTATTCTCAGGATCACATGATAACTGGAGTGTGAAGACCTAGAAGTTTGCACTTTTAAGCCGGTTATCTACCCATTAGCTAATGCTATCTCTCATCACTACTTCTGGGAAGATGCTAGCAACAAGTGCAATTCCCTGTCTGGGAAATTACACTAGATCTTTCTGTCCTTGGCAGTGTCACAGGGAGTTGCCTTAAAAAGGCAGCTGTGTGGTGGGGGTGGGAAGTAGAGGATAAAATATGTCACTAAGCACATGCTAGCCAAAGGGACACAGTTACAGCTCACATAAAAGAACAATTTTAAGTTCTATGGCTCAGAAGCAGCTCAGCTTCAAGGTCAGAGACTTCTTGAAGCTCCACATGGCTACCATGAGCCATTAACCCAATTTAGCATAGTCTATACTACAGGGTTTCTAAGCAAACTTGTCTGCAGCCCATACGACTTCTGACATCATTACTCTACTCCATTACACTGAATTATGGCATAAAAGCAGTCATAGACAATGCACAAAGAATTACCATGGATATATTTCAACCAAACTTTATTTGCAGAGCGCTCGTAGAGGGCCAGCTTTGCACAGCCCTAGCACATTTTGGTCAGGCTGGGAAGAGACATTGAGTGCTTTGGATTTCTTTCAGTAAAGGTAAGAATTTAAGTCCTTGGAAAGGCCCTCGGCTGCTCTGAGCTTCAGATCAGCAAATCAGGTAATAAATAACGTGGTATTTGACTTCTAGCTCTTCCTGCCCTGAGGCTGGCAATACCACCTGCATGCCAGACTACTGCCCAGGACCAGGATTCCTAACTTCAAGAGAACTGCAGCCAAAAGGAATCCATGGCTACGGGGAAGCACCTGGTAGAGGATAGGGAAAAGAAGCGGTGTAATAACAAAGAACAGGAGAGCCATTTAGGAAAACGGGACTGAATGGTGGCTGCAAATGTCAGTAGTTCCATGTTCAAAGAAAGCATGGTAATCAGGTCTCAAGACATGGGAGACCATCTGAAACGTAAAGAAAAGCCTGGCTGCCCCTTGCAGGCTCTACAAAGGAGTGGGGATGGAGAGGCAAGCAATTTCCTACTCACTCAGCAGAGAGGGAGAGACAGGTGAGAACTTGTGCCTGTTCATTCAAAGCCAGGGAAATATCCTTAGCAAACAGGGCACTGTTTTTCAGTGTCAGCCCCCGGAAAGCTACCTTCCCATTCCTTCCTTGACAGAGGTCTGGTCTAGTGACAGTGACCATGACACACACCCTCTCTCTCAGTCTAGACCCTTTTCTGGTCATGATGTACTTCTACTTACAGAGAATCCAGTAATTCAGATTTATAGTATCTGGAGGAAAGCAGGCCAAGGAAGAGAAGTCCTGGGCCCAAATAAGATAATGTGAACAAAGGTTTAAAAACTTAAAAGGGAAGATGGGGCAGGGCATAAGCCTAAAATCAACGCTCAACTGCAACTATTCAAGCAAAGGCATGGTTTGAGAGTTCCGGAAGAGCCACACAGCACAGTCACATGTAGCCTGGGGACCCCGCCCACTCGGCAGGGGTGACTGTGCATGAGGCCTCTCTTCTTTATTTCTGTGGAGGAGTGGGAAGGCAAGAACTTGGTTTTCTACGATGTCTTAGGGAGTAGGTGAAGTTACTACACAGGGAATAGTAAATAAGCAACACTCTTGCTAAATGAAAGCCTCCCATGACTCTTACCATTCAGAAAACAGTTTTCATCTATTCTATGAAGGGAAATGCCCAGGAGAGTTGGCTACAGCTGGTTCCTTTAGTCAACATCTTAAATTATTTGTGGTTTAGGCCATACTGCTATTTCCTCTGGATAATGACCTTTCAAAAACAGTCTGGCCAAGTAATCATATCAGCTGCTAAGACAATGTAGAGAGTTCATTATAGACAGACCCTAAACAAAGGGCTATGAAAGATTGGGCCACTACAGTCAAGAAAGATAAATATCAACTTTGGATTAGACTAAGGTTCTGCAAACTTATATGGCAGAGACATGAAAGAAATTGGAGAAAAATGCCACCTTTTCTCCCAGTAAGTATTAAAAAGACACAGATATAGGCAGGGCTACAATAACCAGGGGATAGTGGAAGAACATTCGGCCATGCCTTTGAGCTGTCCACAGGGGCCAGAAACAAGGCCAGGAAGAAAAGCAGGAGGGGAAAGTAGACTTGAAGAAGAAAAGAGAAAGGGACTTTAGGAACAGTGGTTCTTGACCCGTGGGTCTCAACCCCTTTTGTTGTTGGTGGGGTGTTGAACAGCACTTACACAGGGGTCGTCTAAGACCACTGGAAAATACAGACACTTACATTATGATTCATAACAGTAGCAACAAAAATAATCGTATGGTTGGTAGTCACACAACACGAGGAACTGTATTAAAGGGCTACAGCCCTTTGAGAACCACTGCTTGAGGAGATGTTAGTCAAAAGGAAGAGGGGCTGAGTCAGTTGAGATGAAAGGTGTCTCCCCCCTATGTAAGCATGATCTGATGCTACACCAGGGCAGTGGCATATGCCTTTAACCTCAGCACTTGGAAGGCACAGGGAGACGTCCCCTTCAAGGTCAGCCTGGTCTACATAGTAAGTTCCAGGATAGTCAGAGCTACATAGTAAGACCCTATCTTGAAACAAACCAAACCAAACTAAACCAAACCAAACCGAACAAGCAAACAACAACAACCTCCCCCAAACCAAACAACAACAACAACAACAACAACAACAACAGAAAAGGATCTGCTGCTACTTCCTGTGATGCCTGTGGGTCACAAACCACAGTGAACTCACCTGTCTTCCCAGTTCCTCTGTAGCACAATGTTAAAAGGTCCACACGGTCAGAAGGAAAGTCTACAATATTTGCCCCTTCCATCTAATCTCCAATTGTATGGATTTAAACATTAGTGGAGGGTTAGGATGGTATCTTTCAGTGGTAAAAATTCAAGTTACATTTAAGATGTACGTGTATGTAGGGGCAAGTGTGGGTGTCACTATCAAGGGCTTCTCCTTTTCAAGTGTAACTGCATCTTAACAAAGAGAACGGTATAAATTTAATGAGGTAAGTGCTGCACATCACAGCACTGGATAGCCAGCAAAGCAAAGTGGCATCACCCAGGTAGCTGTAGTTGATGTTTGGGAAGTGGAACAAATACCTCTTGAATAGAGGATTCAGGGCCTGTTGGCCAGATTCATTTCTTTCACTAAAATAAGAAGGTGAGTGTCAGGGAAAACCCAAAGTGGTGGACCTCTCAGAGCCTGGGCGGACCAACGCATGCCCTGTTTTCCCACAGCCCCAATATTAAGGTAATGGCTGATGGGTCAAAGGAAATAAGACGCTAAAGTTTCTATCCAGGTTTGTCCAACACTGGACATCTTCAAGTCCATCTATCTGCTCTCAAGGACCTGGAGTGACCCATGGGAGAGCCTCTAGGGGCACCTGACTGCAGCTCTGTGCACACTCTGTAACCGGCCACTGGAGTGGCCCAACAGACCTGACTAAGGAGGAGGCAGGGGCAAAGGCAAGTTCTAATACTAAGTCTGAGGGAGGCACACTTCCCACTGCCCCTTGCTTGTGCTCACGTAGGATGAATGGCTGGCATACTCCTAGAAAGCAGACACATCTGCTGAAGAAGACCTCAGTAAAATTAGCAGGTAGAAGGGCACCATAGCAGCAGAGAGCCCAACTCCTGCCTGCAAGAGCCAGGCCGACAGGCAGATACAGAAATACAATTAAATTAAGTCAGAAAACCCGCTACAGAAAATGCAATTACTCAAAGATACAAATAAATGTTCAAAGAAAATTGGCCCCTGACAGGGTTAGTCAAGCTTCTAAATCCAGCTGGAGGCAGGCAGCTCAGGCTAATTCGCCAAGGAGGACGACTGCAAAGCTTAAACTCCCCGCATCAGGATCCCGGTTGGGCCGGCCTCACGTGCCAGGTTACCAGTGAGGAAGAACGATTTGGGGGTGGCTGAGCAATGATTCAGGACTCCAAGAAATAAGATATGGGCAGACACAGGAGTGGCTCATGGATGGCAAGGCTGGCCGATGGAGAAGGCAGCAGGCTTATCCCTGACGTGGCAGGCAAGGGTGAGGGCCCTGGAGCGGGCCTGTGCACCCCTCCCACGGAAGAAGCGAGGGAAATGCCCTACCTCTCGCTGTAGCACTAGCTCCCTGGTGAAAAGTGTGGCTTCCTCACTGAATGGCTCTCCTTCCTGCACCAAGCCTGGGAGGTTTCGTGCTCCTCTGGGACATTCAATTCCTGCATCAGGAGAAAAGGAGAATCTGTGAGAGAGGATGCAGAAACAAACACTCCCCAGCCCACCACTCTCAACCTCACCATGATCCCCTGTGGTCCCTCCAGACCCTTAGGCTCACGGCTTTAGCTACTGCTTGTATGCATGGCCTTCCTCACTGACTTTCACTGCCAGCCCAGCCATGCAACTCCGGGAAACAAGTGCAGCTGGCTCCCGGACACTCCCTCCTTAGTAGCTGACTTTACGCCAGAGTCCAAAGTGTTAAGTCAGTGCCACTTTCCTCTCCAAACAAACACCCCCTCTGTCCTTGGGCTGTGCTTTGTACACAGTATACCACCAGCTTTCATTCGGAATGAGAGGCAGAAGAAAACAGAATACCGACGAAGCAGTAGGTGGTAGAGTCGGGAAATACTGGCTTCACATCCCATTTTGTCATTTGTCTACTTCGTGGCCTTTGCTAAATTACTGGACAAAGGCTCAACTCCCTGTCTGTTGAGCAGATATTACACATGTACTTCTTAAAGGTGCTGTATTAGCCCAGAAGAGACTATGTATGCAAGATATAAGAACAAGGCTGGCCACTTCAGCTATTGTTGCTATCATCTTCATCACTGCCATTCTTAGCAATTCACACACTTTCTTTGACTCCCGTAGTAAGCCTGTGACACTCATGAGCACAGAAACTTATCCTGTATCCTTGTTTGTACTTTGTACAAAATACATATCTACTGTCAAACCTTTTCTTTCTTACGTTCAATCACTCATTTTTAAGATACTAACAGTGATCATATGTGATACAACCATAAAGTATGTTGCATTTTGAAGTCTGGATAAGGCATAAATATTTCAAAGTAATTCAGACCCCCCAACTGTAATTATGAAGGAGAAACTTGATGCAGGCTAGAGACAGACTGGAAAGCAAAGTGATAACAATTCCGGGAAAAGCAATGAAAATCTGTGTCCCAATTTCTGACCTCTGGAGGTCCCTGATTCTGTGACACTGTGGGGAACGGAGGACCCATCACCAACCAGCATGCAGAACACAGGGTCCACATGCTTATGAGTAAAGCTGGGTGGCTGTTTACATTTCTAGTACAGATTCAAGATACCAAAGCCCAGAAGACAAGGAATAGGCTCCATGTTTGGTTCTCAGCAGATGCAGAACAGCTTTCTCTCTGAGCCTCCAGTGGAACAGATGATGCAAAACGAAGCACTAGGTGGTGGTGGGGTACAGCAGCAAAAGAGCCTGCAGCAGCGGGCAGCTCTGGCTGGCAGCAGCCAGCACTCACTCGTTTTGCAAAGATGGGACAGCCTGAATGCTCTATGCCAGCTAAGTGGCTGCAAAATCAACAGGGCTGCCTCTTCGCTTGCACCTCAGGGTCTACAAGAGCAGCAGAACTTGATTTTCTAAAGGACAGCAAGAACTCCAGGAGCCAAAAACCTGAGATTAACCCTGAAGGAAGAGATGAGACTGGAGCAAAAAGGAATGAAAGATAGCCCGTGTTTTTCATGACATCAATAGCCAAAAACACTTTTCATTTTAGATCTGCAAACTAAGCAAGAGGAGAATTGCCAGGGAGAAAAATAAACGATTCTGTTGAACTATTTTGCCATATACCCATAGATAAAGCATTGCTGCAGAGACAAAAATAATACAAAAGCAAGTGTTTGATCTGTTCCTGATCCTCACAGCAAAACTGGGGTGCTGTGAGGTGGTGGGCTGCTATGCACCAGGGACCAGAACTAGGGCCAGCAAGGTCAGAAACTGAGGGGCGAGGAGCTTTTTTTTTTTTTTTTTGGTATTCTAAGATAGCAAGAAACCAGTCAAGCTGGCAGGACTTCAGGAATACCCTATGGGATCCAGACCACCAGATGATGAAGTTTAGGAGACATGACAGCTCAGTGGGCCCAGGGAGTTTTAAGCAGATGAAGCAGACAGGGTCCTTTGGGCCTGTGAAACAAGTCCACTCATTCTCTGTGGACAACAAGTTAAGTTCCTTGCAGTTGCTACTCCATTTCCCAGCAGTCAGGCTTCAGTGTTTCTCTACCATTTTTAAATTAAAAATAAGCAAATATTCACACCAATGCCTAGTTAACACAGGCAAAGGCAGGAAGAAATCTCTCTTGGATTCATTTCATTTGAAGATACCCCTGGCCAAAGGCAAGCGAACCCCGTGGAAGACCACAGGGGGCAGATGGGAGAAGCAGGACCCGTGGCCAGACCAAGGTTTGCAGCAGAGGCAGGAAAGCAGAGTGACTCTCACAACACCTGCACATAAAGGCTAGCGTTGGCCTGAAAGACAGATCACAGAAGAGAGCTACTTGCTGGCAAACCTGACAGCCTGAGATAAACCCCTGGGAACTACGTGGTGATAGGAGAAACTTGGGCGCACACTGTCCCTTGATTCTGCACCTATGCTGTCATATATGCTTATGTGCATGCACACATGCACGTAAGCGCACACTGATAAGGCAACAAGGAGGTCCGAAGACAACTTCCAGGACCTGGCTCTCAATTCAGGTGGCCAGGCTTGGCGGCAGGTACCATTACCCACTGAACCATCTCAGCAGCCCCACACGCGTATTTGCAGATAAACATATATACTTATATATAATTAAATTCCCATACACTGGTTAGCCTTGATTAAATGCATTAAGTGATAGTCTACTGTACTATGGTTCATTAAAGACAAAAACCAATAAATACGGCTTTAGCACTGGATTGAAGCCTTGGGTAGAACCCCAGGGCCTTGGAGGATGCAAACCAAGGCTTTATCAGGCTTTAGACTTGCTTTTGTGTCCAGAGGGATCAAGAAACAAAGAATAGTGTCGGGTGATGATTAGGACACTGCCGATGCAAGGCTCAGGAAGTGGCTGGCTTCTGCTGTGATTCAGGTCAACACACTGAACAGGAAGTGATCGATAAGCCCTTCTGTCCAGGGTCTGTGGAGCAAGGCAGCCCAGAGTGTACAGACAAGGCCTGTGCTGCTGGGCTGGGCTACCATCCCAACCGAGCCACTTTCTCATCCATAACAAGGAGAAAGAAAACAGACGGAAGAAAGGTTGCTTTCCAGCGAGGATGCAGCAGCTGGTCTGGGCCCGGTGACAGGCAGAAACACAAGAGTTCCCAGGCTATGGAGCACCACAGACTGGAGGTAGGGAGTGAGTCGAAGAGACTCTCTGGCCTACGGCTGTAGCTCTGGATCCTGCACAACACTGCTAATAGCTGCCTTTCCTGGTAACACACTGGAGTGGTGCTGCATGCTGATAAGGATGTATGGACTAAGCTGTGCCTCTAATGCCACAGGCGCAGAATCAGTACCTGCCTTACCACTGACCCCGACACACCACTCAAGAAGCAAAAATATTTTAACTTGAAAAAATACCACACCCAAGGAAAATCCTAAAGCATTTCTGAGCATTTTTCCTTCCCTACGATGCACTGGTGGGATGACGTGAGATGATACTTAGATCTGGAAGAGGCTGATAAGCCATATATACTCTTTGCCACTCATATAAATCTTTAGGCCTGTTTGCCTAAAGGTAAAATTCATTATTTTTCATGCTTTTCATGGACTTTCTAGCAAATGAATGGCTGAACAAAATTACTTAGAAACAAAGCGAAACAAAACATAAAAGAACACTGAGTTTTGGAGGCCTCAGGATGAGACATGATATCAGGACATCATGACTCTGGCTTCTGCTTTGTCACTAAGAACTATTAAGTGTCACTAGCTCACAGTCTCTCGTCTCTGACAGGAAGGGTCTACAAGGTCTAGAATGGTCATTAAAATCCTACAATTTTGGAATGTCCTTTTGAGCACCCAAGGCTTGACTTTTGGAGTACAGAGTGCTTCTTTTCAAACTTAAAAGGCTGAGCTGTGGAGTAACAATCTATTAAAAAATTATACACTTAGAGACATTGACTAACTAGCGTAATTAACAAAAAACACTTTGGTCAGTCAGCTTTGGAACAAGAAGAACTAATTCTTGCTAATGACAAGATAATGGCCATATAAGAGACTCTATTGATGGTCAAGTAAAGGTTATGTATCACTCTGAATATTTTAGAATGTATGCTGAATTTTGTGATAATTAAGCTTCAGGACTCAAAATGTGCCTGTTCTTTACTGTACTTTGCACAGTGGGAACCATGGGGGAAAAAAATGGTCTGTTTGCTTTGCCTAGAAGTGAGAGCTTCCCAATGACCATCAGTCCAGCAAATAAGCCAGGCATTATCAGGAGAGAGATAGTGGAAACACAAACCCATCTGAAGGATTAGTCAGTGGTGGTGATTACACTCCACTGTGCTCTCTGTTACCCTTGTCATCAGAAGAAAGAGAGCAGGCGAAACGCAGCAGAACCTCCTTCTGTCTGCTTGGAACACTCAAAAATGCCGTAGCTCTTCGAAGCCTTTCTCCTTGTTTCACCAATGTCACCTAGCCCAGGCTAGACACTGGGGCATCGGTATGAGGACTGTACTCACAGAGCTAAGCTGCCAGATAGAAAGTATTCCCCTTTCCTATTGAGTATAGCACAGTTGTGGTGACTGAGTTAACTGCTCTAGAGGTTGTACACTGTCAATCCTGATAGACAGCTGGAGAACATTAGGCAGACAGATGAGTGCTCCTCTCATCTGTGAGACTGGAGGCTGAATGCTGTGGCTGAGCCAATGGTGGCGCTGCTCAGGCCCAAGCACTCATGGGTTCCCACACATGATGTTGGCATTTGTTATCATCACTCCACAGTTGGGGATGGGAAGCAGGAGCAAAGTGGGGTATGGATGGACAGAGTTAGCCAGACGGTCAATCTGCAGTTAGGGCAGCAATAAAGCTGTGTCCTAACAAAGATGGTTGATGAGGTGAGCCAGCATGATCCTGTTCCTGGAGCACATCTGCATGTACCCTGTGTAAACCGTAAGCCTACCGCCTACCGAGGAACCACAGGAAGGAAGCAAAAAAAAAAAAAAAAAAAAAACACAAAAACAAAACAGAGAGGTACCTGT